GGTTGATATTCAGTGTTACTTTAGTAGAACCAAACGCTTGTGTTCAGCCAGTCAGATTTTTGCTCTCATTTCCCTAGACTAACATATCACAAACTGCATTGGAAGCTACCCAGGATTCCAAAAGCTGTTTTCTGTGTGCCATAGGTGCAGAGGGCTACTGTTTGAGATCTTTTAAATCCTGGTCTAAGAGTCATAACTCTTATTACTTGTTTATAGGAGCTGTTTATAATAGAAAATTACAAGAGCATAGTTTTCTATTCTATATACACTTAAATTGACTAATAAGAAAAGAAGTTCTACTATCATGGCATAAGGAAGATGAAATGGATACAGTGGTGCCCCGCAAGACGAATGCCTCGCAAGACGAAAAACTCGCTAGACGAAAGGGTTTTCCGTTTTTTGAGTCGTTCCGCAAGACGAATTTCCCTATGGGCTTGCTTGGCAAGACGAAACGTCTTGCGAGTTCTTGCGAGTTTGTTTCCTTTTTCTTAAAGCCGCTAAGCCGTTAATAGCCGCTAAGCCGCTAATAGCCGTGCTTCGCAAGACGAAAAAACCGCAAGACGAAGAGACTCGCGGAACGGATTAATTTCGTCTTGCGAGGCACCACTGTATTGGAATTTTTATTACAAACTTCTAGGAGATTTTAAGAGCTTGCACAGGAGTCAATATAACTTCAGTTCACACAAATAGATCCAATACGGCTATCAAGTATAGGGTATGATTTGGGGAACATAAGCTGTGCCACTAACAAACTATACCCAGATTAGCTTTAGACTTGCATTACCACAACAAACCGTGCCTTCTTTTATCATTTTGTGATTTCCCTTCTATATGGGCTTCAAGAAACTTTTCTCCATCACAGCTTGTTTAGAATTCAGAATCACAATCAAATATTGTTCTTGGCAACTATGATGGCATTCTATCAACTTAATTCTGGGTTATATTCAGTGCTCATGCAATGAGATTTCACCTTCATTCACTTTGTCCATGCAGCCCTCTGTGAAGCATCAAAATCAAAATAGAGAGTTGGGTCACCACGTGCCACCATATATCTTTAACTTACTGGCAGTAGTGCCTTTGCATTAGTAAATCAGTGTGCAAACAATTCACTCCCTTTATCTGTGCTCCAGCTGTTACTGGTAAATAACACATTCTTTATTTACCAGATTCTTTTAGGGGACCTAGCAGCTATCATTCTCAATGTCTGCCTTACCTTCTTCCTCTTAAAAAATTCTGAGAGTATTTTTTAGAAAAATAGTATGTATTTTAAATATACTGTAAAATGCTAACTGGTAGGAGGGTGGCCTCTTGAGGCTCCAGGAGAAAGACTTTCCAGCCTCTTCCCATCTCCTTATGCTGTGGTGACCCTTCCGGTGGAAGCCAAACAGGAGGAAGAGAAGTTGTGCCAAGCACAGCCCCGTCTTCAACACCACCAACCCACCCCAGTCTGGATCCTCAGGTTGTCTTCCCATGCCGCTTCCCCAGGCAATCCCTGGGTCTCTAGAGTTGAGTTTTTAATCTGCGCTTAATCCATGAAGGATGAAACAAGGGAGCAAAGACGAGCTGGCTGGAAAAAATATGAGGAGGGGGAAGCTTCCTCTTCCCGGTTTCCCACTCGCCTCTCTCCCAATGTCCAGGCAGTACTAAATCAAGTAAGAAAGCAAACAAGAAAAAAGTGGAGAGGTAGGGTACAAAAATTGCCCAGAACTTCCCAGCTGGCTGTGCCTCCCTTTCAGCATTTGGCAAAACTCATCTCTGTGATTTCCCTACACACCCTCTCTTCAAGCATTGGACCTTATGGATGCCACCATCTTAGCACGGCAGCAGGTTCAAACATGGACCATAGGAACGGTGGCAATAGCCCCATCAGGAAGGCAGGGCTGCTGCACTTTTAATTTGAGCACTACAGAAAGAAATCCAACAGGTGAAACTCTCATGACCAGGAGTTATAAACAGGGACGTTTGTGAGGGCGTTTAGAGAGGGAGTTTGAGGAGGAAAAGCCCACAATGCTGTCTCATGCTGTGTGTAGAACCAAGAGACATGGGCATTGAGGGGGCTGCTGCAGTAACCTGTGCCATGATTGTCTTCAGCCTGAGAACATGCAAAACTACACCTGCAGCAAGTGCAAGCTGGTTGCCTTGCTGGAAGAGAAGGTACAGCAACTTGAGGTCCACCCAGTGCTACTTTTCTAGAAAGAGGTGCTGGAACTCACCATGAACACATCCCTTGTTCTCTTAGAATGGCAATGTAGCCCACTTGAGAGGGGCTGGAGCCCACCTGAGAGGTGCCGGGACTGAATTCCTATAAGTTCCCACCGGAAAAAAGCCCTGGGTCCACCTATCCACACTGGGCAAGATGTGGAGCGCACCTAAAGAAGTGGAAGGCACCTAAAGAAACCAGTGCAGCTGCATAAAAAGTGCATATATACAGTGGTACCTCGGGTAAAGTACTTAATTCGTTCCGGAGGTCCATTCTTAACCTGAAACTGTTCTTAACCCTGAAGCACCACTTTAGCTAATGGGGCCTCCTGCTGCTGCTGCACTGCCTGAAGCAAAGTTCATAACCCAAGGTAATATTACTGGGTTAGCGGAATCTGTAACCTGAAGCGTATGTAACCCGAGGTACCACTTCAATATGTAGAAGACAGGGGAAATCACAAACTAAGAGTGTACAACACTTTCAGGGAGAGGCTGAGGCAGGTCAAAGCACAGAGTGAACTCAGGCTTGCAAGAGAGGTTAAAAGGAATTTTAAAAGTTTCTTCAGCTATGTTCAAAGCAAGAGGAAGGCAAGCAAGTAGTAAGTCCTCCACATGGAAAACTGCTATTGGGTGACAGAGAAAAGGCAGAACTGCTCAACATCTACTTTACCTCTGTCTTCACTTAAAAGGTAAGTGATGCCTAACCTGGTGATGACAGAATAAACAATGCAAGAAAGGAAAAGCCCAACATAGGGAAAGAGGTGGTACTTTAAATGAATTCAAATCTCCAGGACCTGATAACCTGCACCCAAGGCTACTAAAGGAGTTAGCGGATGGAATCTCAGAGCCTTTGTCTATAATCTTTGAGAATTAGTGGAGAAACTGTGAGATCCCCACTAGAGGTGGGCAAATGTCTCCATCTTCAAAAAGGTGGGAAAGAAGACACAGTTAACTACTGACCAGTGAGCTTGACACTGATACCAGGAAAGGTCCTAGAACACATAATTCTACAGTCTGTCTGTGAGCACTTAGAAAAGGATGCTGTGATTACTAAGACCAAACATGGATCTCTCAAAAACAAGTCACGCCTGACTAAACTCATTTCTTTCTTTCTCTCTCTCTCTCTCTCTCTCATAGTGTTACAAGTTTGATGGATCAGGGGAATGCTGTGGATATAGTGTATCTTGATTTCTGTAAGGCTTTTGACAAAGTTCCCCATCTTGTGGAGAAGCTGGTAAAATGTGGGCTAGACGAAGTAACTATTTTGTAAATGGTTGACTGACCAAACTCAACACTAATGGTTCCTCGTCATCCTGGAAAAGAGTGACAAGTGGGGTACTGCAGGGTTCTGTCCTGGGCCCGTTGTTGCTCAATGGAGTAATAAACAACTTGGATGAAAGTACTGAGGGGATGCTCATAAAATTTGCAAATGACACCAAACTGGGTGGGGGTAGTTAATGTCACAGAAGACAGAATCAGGATTCAAGATGACCTTAACGTAGTAGAAAACTAGGCCAAAACTAGCAAAACGAATTTCAGTAGGGACAAATGTACGGTTCTACACTTAGGCAGGAAGAACTAGCAGCACAAATATAAGATGTGGAACACCTGGCTTGCCAGTAATACATGTAAAAAGGATCTAGGGGTCCTGGTGGACCACAATCTTAACATGAGTCAACAGTGTCATGCAGCAGCAAAAAAAAGTAAATGCTATTCTAGGCTGCATCAAAAGAAGTATAGTCTTCCAAACAAGGAAAGTATAGTCCCTTTCTATTCTGCCTTGGTCACAACACACCTGGAGTACTGTATCCAGTTCTGGGTACCACAATTTAAGAAAGTTAGTGACAAGCTGGAACATGTACAGAGGAGGGTGACCAAGATGATAAAGTGCCTGGAAACCAAGCCTTATTAGGAGTTGTTGAGTGGTACATTTAGCCTGGAAAAGAAGAAACTGAGAGGAGATATGACAGCAATCTTAAAATATCTCAAGGGTTGTCACATGGAAGATTGACCATGTTAGTCTTCTCCTGCTCTGGAGGCCAGGACCTGAACAAATGGCTTCAAAAGGAAGGAGATTCCAACTAAACAGGAAAACTTTCTGACAGTGCTGTTTGAGAGAGGAACAGTATTCTTTGGGAGGGGAAGGACTCTCCTTCCTTAGAGATTTTAAGCAGAGATTGGATGACTATCTGCCATGTATGCTTTAGCTGAAATTCCAACATTGTCGGGGGTTGCAGGGGGTTGGACTAGATGCCCTTGGGCCCCATCCAACTCTTCAATTCTATTGTTCTATTATTCTAATGATATGCTCAATATACTTGTATTGTTTAGTTACAGACGGCACCTTTTTCTTGCAATTAACAGCAAACACAAGATGGAAGTTTATTGTTATCTGTCATAATTGCAAAATTATGATAAATAATGAGTTAATAATTGCAAAATGCTTTGTTATCATTATCTTGCTCTTCTTGTAAGTCATTTGAAGATGGGGAGTTGATCCTTAAATACTGCAATTCTAGATAGCAAAGTCTATCATGCAAAGGTGGATTTAAAACCTAAATCCCCATGTCTGTTTTACTTATCCAATATACAGTATATACTAAAAACAGATAAATTCCTAGATGAACAGGATAACTAACCATGCTGTCGCATTTTGCTCCCATTTCACTATGATTACAAATTATAAATAACCATTAAAGTCATACTTGGTTGCAGCATGAAAAACTTGTGTATGATTTATCATCATAAGGCAAGCAGTCATGGTATTCAGTGCATTAGTAGTACCTCTGCAAATAACTTACTGGCAATATTTTCTTTAGTCCACAGCGCAGGAATTCATTTCTCAAGTGTATCCTAAAATCAAGATCTTCAGGGGAAGTGACAAGGGCATTTATGAACTGCATGCAGGCTGCCTGTAATTAAAAATTATGGTAAAAGCAGCATATTAGATTCAGCCTTCTCAATGCACACAAGCAATAAACATAGTAGGGGGGGAAACGTTCTTAAATAAGAAAATGTACATTCTAACTAAAAACTTATTTTATGGAGCAACACAGTAATATACTTTACAATAAAACTATATTGCCAATAATGCATCCCACTTAGACTGACCTCCATGAAGTATGTGTCAAAAGCTGTGCATTATAATTAAATGCTGGTGTTTGAGTTAGATATCACACTGTAGATGGTGGAACTTATTATTAAGAGATATTATTAGGGCAGTGCGGCCCTTTTCATAACAAGTGGGCCACAAGAGTAATTCGACACAGAACAATGCCTTGTCATGAACATGGGAAGGCAGAGCAAGGCCAAAATTTGGCGCACACGCGCATACACACATCCTTGCAGCCTTCACACTGCCTTCCCAAAGGCAAGTAAATGAGGTGCTAGGCTTTGGGAAGGATTGCAAGGATCTGGCAAGGTAATAGAGTCCTCCCAGCTTATTTACAAAGCTGGGAAACTGCAAACGAGACTTTGAGAAGGTGGCAGGAGGACTGGAGGACCCTGTCAGAGCCTCACACTTCTTTCCCAAAACCCAGCACTTCAGGATGGCAGTGTGAGGGCTGCAGGGCAGATGGTTGTTAAATGTTGCCAAGGGCTGCTCAAGAAGGTCTCAAGGACCACAGGCAGACCTCAGGCCACATTTTGGACCACCATGTATTAGTGAGTTTAGCTAAAAAATTAAAAGCAAGTATTATTTGGGGAAAGCTACTGGCCAGTATTTTCTAAGAGGAAGCGAATGCAGCCTCATTTTTCACCATTTAGTTTTTTAGCAGCACTGCAAGTTATACATGAAATCTGTGCCCAGAGATACCAGAAGAGTGTAACTTTTCTATACAGACTGCTGCAAGCTGGTGAAATCTTCCAGTACCATACATGCATACAATGCTGTCATTGTACTTGCCTGAATGATCCTTGTTATGTTACGACTGTGACATGACTGAACAAGCCAAAGTACATGTCCAATCGAAAATTAATAGAGAGAAAAGGTGCCATCTGCTGTGATTGTTTTTGCCAGAAGAAATTCTGGCTTAATTGCTTGTATTAATACTGGTAAAGTGAACATTTCAGTCAGAAACGAGTTAATGAGTCTTGCAGTTGTACCTTCAGTCAAGGAGTTTGGATGAGAGAGATCATAAAACTTGCAAAAGCCTTTAAAGTGGATTCACTGTGACACCAGTATAACTGAATGCATCAGAATGGCAGTACACGTAATGCTATAAATATATGGGTTGATCTTAATATGTGATGTAAAGTTATATATTCTTGATCACAGGGAGTTTCCCCTTTTCTTTTATCTAGCTCTTACACTGGGCCCCATAACAGAAGGTCTAAAGGGCAAAATGACAATAACTTTTAAGTGTCCCCTTTAAAAAAGGAGAAGAGAACCTAGATTATTTAGACTACTGCAATGCGTTCTATATGGGGCTACCTTTGAAAGTGACTTGGAAACTACAACTAATCCAGAATGTGGTAGCAAGGCTGGTGACTGGGAGTAGCCACCGGGACCATGTAACACTGGTCCTAAAGGATCTTCACTGGCTCCAAGCACAATTCAAAGTGTTGGTGCTGACCTTTACAAAAGCCCTACACCACCTCAGCCCAGTATACCTGAAGGAGCGTGTCTACCCCCATAGTTCAGTCCAGACACTGAGATCTTCCTCCAAGGGTCTTCTGGTGGTTCCCTCACTGAGAGAAGCAAAGTTACAGGGAACCAGGCAGAGGGCCTTCTTGGCAGTGGCGCCTGCCCTTCAGATGTGAAGGAAATAAAAAACTACATAACTTTTAGAAGATATCTGAAGGCAGCCCTGTATTGGTAAGTTTTTAATGTTTGATGTTTTACTATGTTTTATATATGCTGTAAGCCACCCAGAGTGGCTGGGGAAACCCAGCCAGATGGGCGGGGTATAAATAGTAAAATTGTTGTTGGGGAAACCCAGCCAGATGGGCGGGGTATAAATAGTAAAGTTGTTGTTGTTCTTCTTGTTGTTGTAGTTGTTGTAGTTGTTGTTGTTAGACTATAAGGTACAGAAACTTTTCAAGGAAATTTTGCTGTTCCACAAATAAGGATAGTTAGCAGCAGTTTGAATAAGCATTCTGCCCTTGCAAGGAGTTACAGTGATTAATTGTGGTACTCTTGTCTGCAAGCAGCCTAAAGTTTTAAATAAAAGTGCAGGAAACATTCTCAACTACACTTTGGTAGGAGTAAAAATTGATGTAATGCAAATCTAGACATGTCCAAAAACACTAAATTAAAGGTTTTTCAGGGAGGGGGAATACAGATAAGGCCATGCTTATTTTAGTCCGTTTTAACAAACATCAGACTAAGCAGACATCTAGGCTGGCACTGGAATCATACACATCTCCATGACATTTTTATACATCACTTTTATATGCCTGGACATTTTATATCACCTAGGACCAAGTAATAAAAAGAATTTTGCTTTACATTGCTCAGTGTTACAGAAAAGAAACTTGGCAATTACACTATAACATAGCTTGCATTCATCAAAGAAAAGGGGATGCTATTGCAGCATAACCTTGACCTTTTATGGAACATAATCTTTCCTTTTGATTCTTTCTACCACTCAAAGTTTTCATATTGTCATGTCAGGATCACAAAAATAATTTTTGTCTTATGGCCTTAACCTTATAGGGCAGAAGTCATGAACTCAATCGTTATCTCATTCACAAGTTGGTATTCCAGGACTTGATTTTACCTTTCTTGTGATGCAGAGCTAATATACAATATGTGAGGGAAAACCCTCACAGTAAACTGAGTACCGGTAACCAGCCATCTGAGTACTGTATATTCACACCTAAAAATACAATAACCTACACCACTGACATACAAATGGAAAAACCTTTCTATTATGTAGATCAGTTATGTAGACCACAACTTAAGGGACTTTGTGAGTGCGTGGCCTCCACACACACATTTGTGCACACAATCCATCTCTTGAATGCAGAAGGATTCACTCACAATTCACAACATGGAAACACTGTCCATGCAATAGAAACATGTAGCCCCATGTGTATGGCTCACATGCAGCAAATACATAGGAAGCCGCCTTACCCTGAGTCAGACCATCTAGCTCAATACTGTCTACACTGACTGGCAGCAGCTCTCCAGAGTTTCAGACAGGGAACGTGCTCAGTCCTACCCAGAAAAGCCAAGAACTGAACTAGGGACTTTCTGCATGCAGAACAGATGCTTTACTGCTTAGCTACAGCCCTTTCCCCAAGCAACAATTGAAAACTTTTGTGACTGGGAGATAACCTGCTGACTGGTTGGATTCTGCCTAGAAGCAGAAGACACTTGAACTAGGGCAGAACTAAACAAGAGTCAGGGAGAAGGAAGGCATATCGTTGTGTGTGGAGACCATGCAAGTATTTATTTTCCCATGCTACAGCCAATGAAACTATTTTCATGTAGAATAAAGGGCCATGTTTTTCATAAACAGAGACGTTAAAACTATTGGGCACTTAATTTCAAACACTTTCTCAAAAAAAATTATTAACACTGCATTAAAGGAAAGTTGTCTAATTTCAAATGTCTAAAATATACATGAAACTGTGGATTAAAGAATCTTGAAGCAAATATTTATTTGGGTGCCAAACCTTTAGCCCTCCAAAAAAGCTATGTCATAACTATATTCTTCAGCAGCCACTTGTTACACAATTTTTTTTTTACAAATCATTTAAATAGTCTAAACTAAGGTAATAGTTATGGTTGTAAACCAAGGAATCCCACCTGTAACTGCAAAGCTTCATGATTCTCAAGCCCCTCCACAATGTTTGAGAACCGCTCTCCATTATTTCTCTCAGCAGCAATTGTTATGGCTCCCAAAATTTTGTCCAGACTGAAACAGAAATTTGTTATTTTAAGAATAAGCATTATAAGGCATTCATGTACTTTATCTCTTAGAATCTAATAGGCTACTCATTAACATATTTCTTTTTCTTAATAGGATTTTGTATTTTTTTCAAAGTATGTGTATACAAACACAAAACTTAAACCAAGACATTATGGTTTGAATCTGGAGGTAAGTGAAGGAAGTTCACAGATAGAAAATTTTCACATTCTTTCCTCCCACATCAGTCAAATGCATCCCATTAAAAGGCTCTCTGGAAGGCTGCAGTGCCTTGCTGAACAATGTGCAGGGTGGGTGCTGGGGAAAGGGACAGTTGCTCAAACTGAGGTGGAGGTTCTCCAAAAAGGCTTCTCAGGGGACTCAGGTGGAAGAAAGGGATAGATAAGTTAAGGAAGTTCACAGAAGGAAACTATCTTAGGATTGAAGGCTATAATATTACCCTTCTCCATATTACGATATGCAGTATTATGTGTTTAGAGGCAGGCAGGTCAGTTTTAAAAATTTATCCAACATAAGGATTCATGGTTTGTTTTTTATGTCTGAAAATACACATACACACACACACTTCTTGCAACATACTTCTATTATGGAATGCTGATCTTAATTCTTTATTCTTTATTTTTATTCATTGTATTCCTATCCAACCTTTCCTCTGCAATGAGCTCAAGGTGGCATCCATGATTCTTCTCTATCATTTAATCCAACAATTACGCAGTGTGGTGGTTTAGACTGAGAGGCATTGATAGTCCCAAGTTCACCCAGTGAGCTTCTTGGCTACGTGGGGATTTGAACCCTGGTTTCCAAAATCCACGTCCAACACACTAAACACTACACCCCACTGGCTCATGGTGCAAGAAAGTCACCACCCCTCTACTTCTCCTGTGACAATTCTACTCAGTTCCACCCAGTCTTTCTTTCTTTGCACTAAAAAAAGCATGCATTATGACACTGTCAGCAATGCAGGTCGTGCCTCAAGCCAAAATTCACAAGAAAGTGTGAAAAGAAAACATGAGAAGAGCCCTGCTAGATCAAACCAAAGGCTTATCAAATGAAGCATCCTGTTTCCCACAGTGCCAACCAGATGCCTAAAGGAAGCCTAGAAGCAAGTCATGAGAGTAACAGTCCTCTCCAGCAATTATTCCCCGGCATGCTGCTTCTGATCATGAAGGCAGCAAATAGCCATCAATACTACTGGACATTAATAACCTTATTCTCTATTCAAAGCGGGATGCTGCTGCTGTCAAGAGTAGGGATCATGAAGTCTCTTGGGCCATAAAATAGAAAGGCAAAATGGATTGGGTGGACATGCAGAAGATCTTGGATATAAAACACTGAATTTAAATTGACCAATATCTAAGTGTATGATGTTACTTACACATTTTCTTCTCCAACAATACAAATGGCAGAAAGTATTTTTACTGTTTCAGTCATCATATTTGGTTGCTTTGGATCAATTGCTCTGGCAAGTAAAAGAAGGCTTCTTTCATCTCCTAGGATTCTTTGCAATCCATACTATAAAAAATAAAAATTGGAATAGTTATATCCAAAATAATTCCCCTCTATACACACATGCTAATCAAATTACAGTTTCCACAACTTGAAATAAATTATTATAATATCAAAACATCTGTGAATGATAGCCTTCTAAATCCACTTTGGGGGCAAACCCCCTCCCCTCTGTCCAGTAAATGATGTGTCAATGAGGTTTTCAAGCTTTACTGCTGTTTGTGACAGATTAGCTCCAATTCCACAGCTCACTGGAAGGACAGATCGTGAAGTTGAGGCTCCAATACTTTGGCCACCTCATGAGAAGAGAAGACTCCCTGGAAAAGACCCTGATGTTGGGAAAGATGGAGGGCACTAGGAGAAGGGGACGACAGAGGATGAGATGGTTGGATAGTGTTCTCGAAGCTACAAACATGAGCCTGACCAAACTGCGGGAGGCAGTGGAAGACAGGAGTGCCTGGCGTGCTCTGGTCCATGGGGTCACGAAGAGTCGGACACGACTAAACGACTAAACAACAACAGCTCCAATTCCAGAGGTGAGGATTTGGAAGAATCCTATCTGATCTCTGCTGGGTCTTACTTTATCTATGCTAATCAGCGGAAGCAATGAGAGAATCCAGTTTAAAAAACAACGCTACCTGATGGGATTGCTACTTGAGGCTACCAGTTTAAATGTTAAAACTTCCTTGCTAAATTGCTTGCATTTCTAATTAAAAAGGTAAAGGTTGAATCTCATCTGACTGAATATCCTTTGTTAAAGCTCAATGTGTTTGACTGGTTGAGCTGGTGCATCAAGCTATACTTAGTTCAATGGAGCTTATTCCCAGATATGAATGCATAGGTTTGCAATCATACTACAAAAATGTTTAGTCTTTAAGGCAGGGGTTGGCAAGGTTTACCTTGCCTGGGCCGGTTCACTCCAGCGGAGATCCCTCCGTGGGCTGGACCGCACGCATGTGTGAGCACGCGCACCCGTGATTTCCGGCATCTGCATCTGTGCAGACACAATTTCTGGCGCCGCGGAAGCGAGTCCCCGCACAGCACTACGCCGGTTTAGCACAGTGCATGGGGACTCGCCAAGCGGGCGGCTCGGGGGCTGGTTAAACGACCCCCATGGGCCGCTTGTGGCCCATGGGCCTTAGGTTGCTGCCCCCTGCTTTAAGGCCACAGGACTCCTTTTGGAGAAAAACTGGTAATTCCACCTTCAATTTAGAAGGATGGGATGGGGGGATGCAGTGGACCTAGATTAGAAACGAGTGTTACATACCTTGCATTGTCTTATTTTATTATCATGAAATTCCAAAAAAAAGTAAGAATATTCCAGAAAAGTAGTCTATAATGTAATAGAAAGTCAAAGTTTTTGGTTCTCTATCCTTTCTTAAGTTACCAGTCAGTAAGCTCCACTGCATTCAAAAGGACTTACATTTGTGTGCACATGGTTAGGATTGTGCTGTTAGTATAACATCTTTATAAGATCGCTAAGTATTTTTCCAGATTGAGTCCACCATGTGGACATACCAAGATGCACACCTCATGTGTTTGTGTGTGTTTCAGTGTTTCCTTAATAATAAAAAAACCTATGCGGCGGCACTTTTTAACTTTGCAGTATCGGTGGGTTCTGAGTTTAAGTTATTCCACATGCTACCAGTTAAGATTAGCAATGGCGAACAGCATGCAGATGCATGTTCACACTCAGCTTGATCTGAGAGGCTGGAGAGAAGGAGGGCCTTTAATGATGGCCATCCATGTGGTGCATAACCTCCAATCCCAACTCAACCACACAATACTTTAATCTGTTAAATGGACATCATAACTTAGTGGACTGCAGGATGGAGCATGGAAAAAATTGTGACTGTGTTCCTACTCTCAGAAATGTAATTGTGTGTATCTTCCAAAATCTCGAATGTAAGTTTTTACAACACTTTATATACTTGTTAACCAATGAAGTAACTGATAAATTAGCTGCCCATTATTCTCTCTTCTGACAGAAGTAATTACAGAAAAACAGGTAAAGTATTGTCACCCATAGGCCAAATTTCCCTTTCCTAATTTCAGCTGTTTATAAATACACACACACACACACACAGAGAGAGAGAGAGAGAGAGAGAGAGAGAGAGAGAGAGAGAGTGTCACTCATGACCACATAAACTGAACTCACTTGAAGGAAAAACCAGAAGAAACTGAAATTCTTACCTTATTATTCATAAATGCTTTGAGGCACTGTATAAGCTTATGCTGATTCTTCTTGTCAATACTTTCTTGCCTTTAAGGGGGGGGAGAATACCAACAGTAAGACACTGTATTAACTGCTCCCCTTTTTTAACTATCCCTTTCGCTGATCATGTCTGTACTTACTGTCTCTTGTCCAGAAGCTTCTCAAGAACATCCAACAGAAGCCCAAGCCCTTCATGTCCAAAATTGTTAACCCAACTGTATAAAAATAAAATGCAAAATAGTTTACATTTCCTTTTTTACAGAATCACAATAGGCAAAAGTTAGTCATACGAACCAAGTGCCTGTTACAGACAAAGGGGCTCCAATGCACATACAAGAGGTTGATGATAATGTTGAATGTGTATATAAACACAGAGATTAACCTCCAACATCTGTCTCACCAGCCTAGTTTGTGATATTAAGGAATCCAAAACTGCTAGCATCTTATGGAACAGAAAATCCCTGTGTTATAAGTATTACAGTATTATGTGACATAATATTATTAGATAATAAAACTACTTAACTGCCTCAACAGTAGCAGCAGCAACACATGCACCACATGGATTAACAGTTTGTTTATCTGGAATCGTTAATCTTCTGAGCATTTTTCCCTCCCAATGGAAAAATTCACACAACACATTCACACAACAGAAACGCACACGAGCACGCGTGCACACACGAAAGGCAGTCATGTTCATAATCATCAATTAAGCTTAATAAAGCATGTTAACAAGTTAAGAGCAGTTTCAGGTTAAGAGCAGACCTCCGGACCGAATTAAGTTTGTAACCAGAGGTACCACTGTACTCAGTGGCGTAGCGTGGGTTGTCAGTACCCGGGGCAAGGCAAGTAATTTGCGCCGCCTAACCCGTGGATTTGCGCCCCCTAACCTGTGGATTTGCCCTAACCCCAGATGTTGCACCCAGTGCGGCCGGCCCCCCCTGCACCCCCCACGCTATGCCACTGACTGTACTTGGAAAGTTCATTTGCTTCCTGTTTTTCTCAATCTTAAGGATTTCATGATTATGATCTAGAGGATATGTAGTTCAAGGCCAGAGAAAGACGAATGGACCTATGGCTCTACTAGGGATTTTGTGTTCCCTTTAACTCCTTTGAATTTAACACTGCCCTGAACAATAGAAAGCAGGATTGAGACACCAACCCCACTGAAGCCCTTATTTGCATATTTTCTTACTTCTTCCCATGGATTAGTTAACATGCTTTCTTAGAGGCCTCTGTACCACCAGTGAGCAATTTCTGTTCTCATCCTGAGGTAAAGTTCTTAATCCGAGGTACTACTTCTGGGTTAGTGGAGTCTGTAACCCGAAGTGTTTGTAACCCGAGGTACCACTGTATGTCACTTTTACTAAACTAAGTATTGTAATTCAGCGGAAACTGAAATGTGTTGGAGATATAAAGGCTAAATAATGGCCAACTGTAGTCTGCAATCTAGCGACGTCCTACGAACACACATACCACACATAACCACCACTGACCAGGAAGCTGAAATATTAATGCTGAAGGAGAAGAATGAACAATAGAGTTCTGATAAACAGTATAAGTGCAGCGAGGGAAGTGAAAGAATTTGGCTGCAGGAAAAATAGCACAGGACTTAGGGAAAGAGTTGTGTTTGGTGGTTGGAGAGCTAAAGAAAAATTCTAGGCTTTGGTCAACAAAAGACTTATTGGTGAGCCATTCTGAAGGCAAGTTGCAAGGCAGCAAGTCAAGATTCCCCTCCTATTTCCCAAAATAAAATTTCAGCAAATCTCACTGGCACGAATACCAACCCTCCACATCACTCAGACATCTCTAGATTGGAAGCCTGTGGGCAGTTGATACTCCTCTCAGAGAGCAAAATACGGACCCCCTAGGCATCTAGTTACTGATACACAGAATGTCCACTGTCCAAAGGCAGCATTTCTTTACTTTCTGGTATTATTTTTCTAACCCCATTCCCCAATGGAGTGGTTTACCAGTGAATATACAGGTAAGTTTTTCTTCTTCCTCTATGATCTCTGAGCTCTACTGAACTAGACAGATAATCAACAAATCATAACCTTTCATTTCTGCATTTCTGATAATCTCTGGGAGCACTTTTTTAAATGTTTGCATCTTCCAGATTCTTCACTGACATTCAAACTATTCTTCTACTTGTGTACATACTGTTGCATAAGTGGTACCTAAGAAACTATGACATTTCTGATGCAGCTTTCAAAGTGTTTTTAGCCACTGCTAGTAAAGCAATGCTAGTAAAGGTAAAGGTAAAACACAATATATGCAAGAAAGACTATGGATATGTGAAAATGGCAATTCCATCAACACAGAGGTCCATTAATTCAAGTTTGCACTTCCCATATAAACTGTGGCTTTTATAAAATGAGCAAATTCTTGTGCAGGAGGCAAAGCATGCATGAAGCAACAGACCTCGTGTGAAGAAATTCAGTGTTAATATGTTGTCACTTTCAATGTTAGTGCAACACCAGAGGGTAGAGTTCAGTGGTATGTATGGTATGCAACAGAATGCACCTCTAATGGTGTTCCATTCCCAGCAGTAATCTCAAAGCATAAGTCACATCACTGAACATCAAATAAAAGAGTGATATTTCAAAGCTGCATGGAGAAATAGAGAATGGTAGGAAAATATAAAGGTGTAGTCCTCCTTGCTCCAATAATAATCTGGTCAACTGTTACATGTTACAAGTTACAAGTTATTTAGTATTAAGTATGTGTAATATTCAATAAACTAATAAAAGTGTATTTCCTTTTGCTCTTCTTTTTTATTAACTATCTTTAAAATGTTACTTATGGTCATGCCAGCCCATGGTACCCATCACTGCCTAATGGGGGGAGAAAGACAAATGTTTTCCACAATGAGTTTACAGTTTAATCCTTACAGATTTATACAGATTCATTTATATGAGCTTCAGCACTGTCACAATGTAAACTATAAACTCATTGCAGCAAGGACCTGTGAAGGAGCAAGTACACAGGTGGCACTATATAAGCAATAATATAATAACCTTATAATTTGCCTTGGGTTCCACATTTTCTTATTCTTACAATATAGTTGCTGAGGTAGATCTAGTCTTTTGAATTTATTTAAATTAGCAGTAGAGCTCCCAATAATTAATGGTAAAGCCTTTGCTAATTTGCTTTTCTCTATCTCTCTCCCTGAAGCATTACCTTTATGTCTGCAAACTTCCTGCCCAAGTTCCTTCAACTGTACAAGCAGGAGAGCTGACACACAAATTTAAGTGGCCAAAGGAAAACAAAGAGGATACCTTCAGAACAATGCAACTCAAGAGCTGCTGTTGACATTTTTGGAATTGTTGACTTCATATATCTAAAAGATTGAGTTTCTGAACTCAAATAAATGAACAGAGTATTCAGCACACCAAGCATTCAATAATATTCCATTAATGCTTTGAACATGCAACAATCCCATTTATAAAACAAAACCTATAGCAAGCTTATATTTTTATTGCAGCAATTCCCATCCTTTGTTGATTAAAAGCGAAATACTTTGAATAGTCACATGGAAAGCATAAAGGAACAACTACTATCATATCCACAATTACCAACATATTTCAGCAGTCTGTCAAGAGTGTGTGCTAACTATTCATATTTTTTGTTCTGTATTTTATTTTTGGTGGTGTTTATACAACCCTCAGTCACTAGATGGCTCTCTAGAGCCATCTAGGTTCAAGATTGCTACTTGAAGCAATGCATAATAAAGATCATGAACAGACACAATAACTCATCAGAGTGAAAAAGACTATGGACTAATAAATGACAATGTGCCTGTGAGGGAACCTAGAGGAAATTAAAAGTACTGGCTATAAAACTTTTACAAACCTCCCTTTGTTTTAATATCTTCTAAAGAGCATTGACTTATGTTTGTGGAGAAATCAAACATGCAACTATGCAAAGGGCATGGCCTTCTTTGTAGTGGTGCTAAAACTGTGCATCACTTCCTCAAGAAGGTTATCACCAAGTGGAATCATTGGTGTCTCACCAGCATTAAATATTAAAGCTGTTGGCTATCTTTGGGTGGTGCTGGTAGTGGTGACATTTTCTCTTTAGAAAGCCTTTAACATTTGGTGCCTCCCCCAACCCTCATGCTGCCTTCCTAAAGCCAGGTAAGCAATGTGCTGGGCTCTGAGAAGGAGGCATGAGGGCTCTGACAGTGTCCTAGAGTCCTCCCATCTCCTTCGCAAATCCTAGTTAGGGCTTTCTCTAGGCTTTGTGAGGAAAGCTTTGTGCCTCCTTCCCAAAGCCCAGTGCCTTGCTTAGCCAGCTCTGGGAAGGCAATGCAAAAGCTGGGGGGAATCAAACTTTGGTTTTGCTTCCCCCCTGCCACGCGACAAGGCAGCATGCTGTCTGCGGGTTCCATGTCAAAGTACTCTTACGGCCTACCTGGTATGAAAAGTTGGGTCACCCCACTTTAGATTCTTTTTGCATCTATGTATGTATACATCTAGGGGACGCGGGTGGCGCTGTGGGTAAAAGCCTCAGCGCCTAGGGCTTGCCGATCGAAAGGTCGGTGGTTCAAATCCCCGCGGCGGGGTGCGCTCCCGTTGCTCGGTCCCAGCGCCTGCCAACCTAGCAGTTCGAAAGCACCCCCAGGTACAAGTAGATAAATAGGGACCGCTTACTGGCGGGAAGGTAAACGGCGTTTCCGTGTGCTGCGCTGGCTCGCCAGATGCAGCTTTGTCACGCTGGCCACGTGACCCGGAAGTGTCTCCGGACAGCGCTGGCCCCTGGCCTCTTAAGTGAGATGGGCGCACAACCCTAGAGTCTGTCAAGACTGGCCCGTACGGGCAGGGGTACCTTTACCTTTACGTATACATCTTGGGAACTCACACAAGGGTGCTGTTTGTATGCTACTTTTATTATTCTGTATCCTGCACTGGGTGACTTTTAGCTTCAAAAAGCAGGGTAGAAAAATTAAACAAATAGGCATAACTTTTAAAGTACTAAACCCAATTCCATAGTTCAAAACCACAGACTTCTGAGAACCTATTCCAATGAAGGTTAGGTCATACATACCCCATCTCATTCTCCCATGCCTACATGAAATAGTAAAGTATTAACATGTCTTATTTAGATTTAAGATTACAATTAATTCAGCAGATAATTGAGATATGAATTCACTGAATTTTGGACATATTTCGTTACCTTGGGTTACTAACCACAATTACTACCAGAAGTACACAGAACAAAGTGGAACTTCATTTCACTTCTGGTTCTATTACTTTTCCATTTTGGAGGAAGGTTAAACAGAATCACATTTTAATTTTTGCATTGCAATAGCCAAATTATTTAACTTGCAGTACTTGAAAAGAGTGAGCCTGTTACACACTGAAACATAGTAGTCAAGGAAGCTGTAGCACTTAACTGACAGCACGCTAGTTGTAGATTTAACAAAATTCATGCCTATTAACTGCCTAGCCTCTCCTTCCATTTTCTTTATTTTCCCCATTATGTGACATGGTTGATAATTTGTTTTTAGGGTTGAATGAATTGGTGGAGTAAGAGACGAGGGAAGGCATACTTAAGATTTTACTGTGCATGTTCATATTTAAAAAGTCTTGTTGAAAGGTTAAAGCAAGTTATATATAAGGCTCAAAGGAAACAAGAAGTAAAGCTGATCAAGCAAATAGTTATATTTTAATATTTGTACCACTGTTCTGCTCATATGTCATAAAAAAAACACAAACCAGAGACTGTGAGCATTAAAAAAAGGATAAGGAATTACCACCTTCCTCCTAGGAGTCTACCTTCAGATGTATTCAAAGAGAGAACTCTAGCCTCAACCACAGCACAATCTAGTTTCAAGCTTAGACACAAAGTTATTAAGAATATGAATGTATTAGCAGTGATACTTCTCTGATAGAACCCAACAATACAAAATTCAACTGGATGTTAAAAGGAGGCTTGAAAGTCATCTGAATAAAGACAGCAGTAGAAACTATAGTAGCAACTGAGAGCACCAAGAAATAGATAAGCCCAAGAATCACAATTTAGACAAGATTCAAAAGGTGACAATAAAAGGGGGAAATGTGGCGAAAGAATAGATAACACTAATTCGTGAGATGAATGCAAGCACAATTAACAGAGAAGACCGAGGTAACAATAAAACAGTGATGGGGTTGCAGTCTTAGTCTCAAGGACTCAGACAGCCTGAATCTTTCAAAGCAGGTCTCAAAGGACTGAATTTGCTTTCTTGTCTTTACACTGGGACAGACACATCAAGGTCATGTTTACATGTTAAGTTTCCTTTCTCACTTTGCCTTCAGCAGCCAAAGGGAAGGGTCCTCAGAAATGTGCTGGGTTTGAAACACTTTGTCTAAGTATGCTATGTGTTTTGCAGTGTTAGGACCAGTATAAACAAGAAGTACATTTTCATACAAGTATGATCCAGGAATAAAGAGCCAGACCCAGAATGCCTTAATTGGATGAAAATGCAGTGGTGTAAAACGCGAAAAACAAACTGCTGGTTGTTGTCCACAGAAGTTGAACAATGCTGTCAAGAAAGGTAAAAAGCTGATGTCAATGTCACCTATCCTGATAGCGATATTCTGATAGCCACAGCAGGTGCTGTGATTCTCCAGCAGCTTGGCTTCACTCCTGGAGGTACACTCCATTGTCTCTTGAGACAGACAGATGCCAACAACCACTTTTAAAGCACTCTTATGTCATGTTAACAGTTACAGCTTCCCCTAAAGAATCCTGGGAACTGTAGCTCTACAAAGGCCTCCTAACAGCTCTCAGCACACTTTACAGTCCCCAGGACTCTTTGGGGAAAACCATGACTGCTAAAATAGTATAAGAACGTTTCAAATTTATGGTGTGGATATGATTCAGGTGTCAGGAATCCCTCACAATGGTTCTCAAACTGGACAGCTGGGAGAGCAGGATTCACTGTGTGCCACTGTCCAGATCTGGCCAAAATTTGGATGCAGGAGAGCTGGGGGAAATTAGCAACATCTGCAAAGGAATTCTCATTCCTCATAAGACAGACAAGGTCAGCTAATACTCCCAACTCATACAAAGGCTTCCTTGCTGTTCCCAATATTAAAGAGTTCTGCTCTTTTAAAAGACTACTTGTTCACCACCTCGTCCACTAATCTCAGTCTCACAGAAACCAATATACTGTTTTCACAAAATCTTTGCGTTTTGGAAGAAATAAGCCAGAGTATATATCCAAGAGTAAATGGATCTAGAAGAACTATGCAGCCAATGGGCACAAGTGTGTGTGTGTGTGTGTGTGTGTGTGTGTGTGTGTGTGTGTATCTCCACCATTAGCCACCATAAAAATGACTTTGATCCCATAATGCCCCAGACACAAAACAGAGGCACTTTCATTCACAGGTTCACATGATCACCCTTTTCCATTACCCATACCTTCCCACCCATCACCTTTTCTTAGGGGGGGTGCAAGGGACTGCAGAAGGAATTAGGCAGGAAAACTCCAGTGAATGTCGTTTAGATACAAGTCCTTGTTTGCTATCCTATGCCATACACCTCACAAGCTATTTCCCACATATTTGAAGCTCACATCCATTGCTAAAAGTATTAGAACACATTTTCTGTTCTAAGAAACAGGAATAGTTTTCGGAATGAAAATGCATACCTGCATTTTCACAGCAATCCTATCTATATTCGTATTTTTACTTTGTTACTGTGACAGAGTTGTTCCTGTGCAACCTAGTAGCAAAGGATAACTGATTATTACTAATAAGTCATGTGAAAACAAATGTAATATTTATTACAATAGTGGTGAACAACTATAATAATAAATATAACAGAGTGTAAGAATCCCACAGTCAATTATGAAGCCAATTATATGTGATTTCTCAACACATTATTTACATCTTTGTGCTTAAATATGTTGTTTCCAAATCATTTTTTCTGCATGAATAGTAAATGCTAACACTCGGACACAGCAATCCACACCAATCAGCTATATAACGAAGTGTTTCATGCTTAATGCTGTTTCTACCATCCCATTAAATTTAAGAGGTGACTGATGTCATCGGATCTATCAAAGGTGATAGTTTGTGCTGGTTCTGGTAGCCTGCAAACAAAAGGTCCTAATGCTGTTATTGAACAAATTTAAGAAGACAGATATGGAGGAACTAGGAAGGGCAAGCAACTCTTCAACAAGAATGTGTTATATAAAACTTTCAAGATCAAGTGAACCAAGCTCCATATTTATTGCACTTTGCTCCATGGACCAACTTTGACAGATTGGTGGGGTAACTCAGCTGTTATCCAACCACTGTCATGATGATGCCAAGTGAATAGTAAGTGTTCCCAGCCGCCTGTTGAAGTTTACCCCCAGTGAAGGGGGAGAGGTCTGATCCACCACCATATTCCCTATGGGGAACACACTGGCAAAGCAGCCCCAAGCAGGATTGAACTCCATTCAACAGCTGATATCACCTCGTGGAAGGCAGCAGCCGATACGACAGGTGGGCATGGTTTGGGGGAAATGGCCTTGCAAGTTCATACTCTATGCCCTTTCCTTACCACTCTCCTACCTCCCTTAAAACCTCTATTAAGACAAAACATAATTAAATGAAGCATCTGTCAAAATTCCTTGCATATCAGCCCACTATGATGTATTAAACAAGATGTGGAGACATTTTGAATTCAAGAAGGCATATTAACAAAAATACCATACATAGAGCTTTTCACAGCTTACCCAGCAACAGGTATCATTTCTCAGTCTTTTGTTTCATTTACCAAGGATAAATAACCTAATTAATTATCAGCCATCAAAGTGTTCAATCCTTCAAATAGCTTTTTCAATGAAAGTAGGTCTTTAAATAAATGCTGTAGTCACAACAGTATCTCCTACACAGTATGGGTTTTTTTAAAGTTTGGGGGATCAAAATAGAAGCTGCATACAAAAACACACACACACACAAACACACACACACACACACAAATAGGGACTTCATCCTTTTGACACAAAAATCTAAATTAGGGTTTCTTCTACATGAAGTCCCAATTATGTTTTAAGGCCTAAGTAAATAATGCTCATAGTGAAAAACAAATCATAATCCCTGCAGCAGGAGACATTTTTATTTGGAACTGGCTAATTCTGTACTTTTTTAACATACATCACTTTACAAATGCAATTTCCTTGGATAACAATTTTCATTACCTACCTGACTGGATTACTCGTTAGAGAGACTCTCAGGGACTCTAAGCAGTTCAGAAGTTTTTCCTCTGAGATACCCGATCGTAGTTCATGGACATATTCTTGAGATGACAGAGTGCATTCGTGTTTACTATTTTTCAGGCCTCCCTTTTTAGGGGAAGAAAAAGAGAGTGTTATAAATGTATCAGAATACAAAGAGTTATTTTACAAACACATATGTCAACTTAAGCAAGACTGGTGTTTCACCATATCTCCAAGTTTCACTCTTATCAGAAAGTTGTTTTTGTTCCTATTTTTATTATGCATGTTGTGATTTTTTATATTGTAATTTTATTGTGTGAACCACCCTGAGATATACAGATGATGGGCAGTGTACAAATTTAATTAATAAATAATGATGATGGTCATAGTTCTTGCACATCCAGTGATCTATGGTGGTCCTATGCAGAAATAATAATTCTTTAACCATAGTTAAGGAATGAGTTGTTGGAATGTACTGTTCATTCCTACAATCCCTTCTCTTCTCATGCCTTCTCAATAAACTTTAAACCAGGGTTAGAAGTTACTGTGAAATCCAGTTAACCATAACACTGCACAACACACAAAGTACCTCTGAAATATAAACACCCAATCTTTACTAATTTTGAGGTGCTGATCACGAAAATTACAATAACATTTGTTGATTGGCTCCTATTTAGGAGATAGAAAGACTGTCATGTAAAAATGACCCAGTCCGCATTAAGTACATAATTTCATTTGGCAATGTTATATTTCTAATTCCAGATTGTGAAATATGGCATCATAATGCATCAGTCCATTATACACACCACTCCCAAGACCAAGGGCATACAGCTGAGTAATGCAGTTGAGTCACGGCATTGCAACTTTAAGATGGCTGAAATAAGATGTTGAGATTGCTGAAAAGAAGTGGAGTCTCACAGGGTGAGCAAGTCATTTGTGTGACTTCATGTGTTAATCTCCCATTACTCCTGTGTCATAAGTACTACACAAGTAATCCCTTCACTGTAAATCCAGAAGTAGTGATGCCTGTGTTAACAATTATTACATTAATAGGAAATGTTTGTAAGCCAGAAAAGGGCCATAACTCCAATAGTGTGGGGGAAAGGTGTTATCAGCTTTATTTTGGATGCAATATCAGGGAACAGGACAAGGCCTGGACCCCACACATATGCTGCAGTATGTGTGCAAGAAATCTTCCAAAATGGCTGAAAGGCATAAAAGAGGGGCAATGTCATTTGCTGTTCCCTATGCACAAAACGACTGCTCCTTCTACATGGTACTACCTGTTTCTGGAGGCATCACAAGGAAAAAGAAGTGGGCAGTAGTGTGCCTGAAAACACCATCAGATTCTCACCCATTCCAGTGAGAACACGCTGCCTACATTAAAGAAAGCTACGACAACCTAAAATAGCTGTTAGACTGCTTTCAATACAGTAGGTATGGATGACATCTCTGTGGTGACTTGAAAGCAGTGTCTGTGTTGATGGGTCTGCAGCTGGGATATACAAATGCCACTGGGTTTTGTGTGTGTGACTAGGACTACCGAGCAAAGACATTCCACTATGTGAAGAGAGAACGGTCTCAACGGAAATCTCTGAATGTTAGAGAGAAGAATGTGGAACACCCAGCACTGGCAGAAACACAAAAAATCCACCGCTACACATCAAACTTGGTCTTATGAAAAACTTCATAAAAGCCATGGACTTAAGACAGGATCAGCTTTCAATCTAACAAATTCCGTCAACTCAGTGCAGCAAAAATTAAAGACAGAATTTTTGTGGATCCTCAGATCCATGAGCTCTTTAAAGACCAGATGTTCGACAACCTGCTTCAAGGTGACGAGAAAAAAGTTTGGGATGCATTTTGTCTTGTGTCAACTAACTTCCTTGGGAATGTCAGGACAGAAAACTACAAGGAACTGGTTGAGGTCACATTGTCTCTGTATCACAAATTTGGCTGCAAAATGTCCTTAAAGATACACTTTCTCCAATCCCACTTGGATTTATTCCCCATCAACTGCAATATGGTTAGTGATAAGCATGGTGAACAGTTTTCATCTGGAAATTGTAACAATGGAGAAATGATACCAGTGAAAGTAGTCCATTTCCATGTTGGCTGACTACTGCTGGATATTTGCCAGAGACAATCCTGAGCAGCTATGCAAGTAACAAGCAAAGCGGCATGAGATGTAGAAGAAGGCTTTTACCAATACATGTCATATATATGTATTTCTTGATTATATAATAAACTATTGCAGCTCTCTAAGAAAAAGTAGTCAATTTTGTATTTTCATTGTCATATTCATGCTCAGCACCTAAAAATCTATAGGAAATGGCTATTTTTATCATACAGGCATGACTTTTGTCAAATTTTGTTGCGCAGTGTAATTCATGCTAACCTGTAAAACAAAATAAAGTTTAATTTGTAATTCTTTACCGATCAAAACAAATAACAGCTTACACATTTCTTCAATTTCCCTTACAGTCAACAGAAACAAATTAACAAAATTAAACAAAATCAATATCAATATCAAAATGACAAGGTTTCCATTTTTATGCTAATCTTTAGTGCCTTTTTTGTAGTATACCTGCTATGGGACATGTGTTTTGGGCATATGTGGGAGGAAGCACAGGCCACAGAAACAAGGAAGTGTATGCTTAAATACACGTCCATAGAAGTCATGGGTATCAACAACCATAGCTGGTTATCACATTTGTTAATGCAATCAGCATTCTACTTTGTGTTACCATCACAATGCAACAGGGAAGTGGTCTTAGTTCTTGAACAGTGTATACCTTTAAATAATTCCTACCTCAATTCATACAAAAATCTGTCAAATTTACATGTGATACTTTTTTTGCTTAAGGGAGGTTTTTGGGTTTTTTTTACACTTCTTACCCTCCCCTTTCTATTTTATGGCAACTATAACTTGGCTGAATATTCACTAAAAATGAATGTCTAGAATTCAGAACTCAATAAACCCATCTTAAGTTAATCAAGGTGGCATAGTCGCTGATATTAATATCAGCTTGATCAGTAACACACATCAATTTTGCTTCAATTTTAAACAGAAATATTTATACTGTGAGCAATATTATAATGAAGCTTTGAATATTTGCTTTCTTTTTAATCCTGCCATAAAGCACCAACAGTATAAAGCTAGAATCTGTTCAAGAACTGTTTGTGAATTTAGTGTCTCTTCATTCACCTATTTTTAAGAATTTAGCTGCAAGTATGGCTTTGTTTTGTTTTAAATTCATGAATAACGGAAATGGATCTCAACATCAGAATGTACTATCTCTTGATACAGTTCATAAAGTAAAGGACAGAGGGTGAAAGAGCAGATGTGTGAGAGAGAGTAGGGTATATCAATGCAGCAATCAAAAGACTGCTGACTACTAAATTATTATGGCCCACTCTCACATGCATACATCAACTCTTTCTCCTTCTGTTCCTGACACTGAAAGCTGTACCGAAGGGTGAACATCCCAAACATAACAAATGCTTTCCTCTTGAAGTGGAGGATCTGAAAGGTGAATACATTTAAATAATGATTGTATTTAGAGATTCGAAGTGCCTCTCCCCTAAATACTTCCCATTCTACCACCTTCCAGAACAGTAAATTCAAACTACATGTTCAATGCAAACATCTGAATAGCAGTAACAGGCTTATACTGAAATGTAGCTTGTGGTGTCTAAGTACAGGTACTATGAGTCGTTCCATACTTCTCTATAACTGTCTTTTTTATCCCCATTATATGTCTGTATAACAAAATTCCTGTTTCTCTTCACTGCCACTTTGCATTACTGAAGTAATAATTCTAGCATCATCTTGGAAGGCAGTTTAAGAGTGAAGGTCAATATGAAAGCAGCACAAAGATGGTTTATAAAAAGAAAGATTTGAAGCACACTACAGGAGACACCCAGAGCTTCCAGGCTAAAAATGTATAAAGGGGGGGGGGGGATCAAGAAAGGTTTCCCAGAAATGGAAAGCAGCAGACAAGGTACTAAAAATGCTGCTGCAAGCACTGCTGAACAAGTTTTTAAACTAATAAAGAGGCACTCCTAGAGTCAGCAGAGAAATGTAAGAGCAAACTAGTCTAAGACTGAAAAAGACAAGGTAATTTTCCATACTTATAGATTACAAAAAACCAGAAGCCTCAAAAGGCAGTCACTATATAAGCCATATGGAATTCATTAGCTTAAATCATATCAAGTTAAAACCTGCTTTCCAACATACACAAATCTGCAGGAGTGGCTATAAGACTTATCTAATCTAAGAATTTGACCATCATCACGGACTGCAGGTTGTAATGCCAAAGCCTTATTACAAGACATGGAAAGAATTAGACAGACGATTATGATTCTGATCTCTATAGGATATTTACATGGAACTTTTCAAAATAGCTGACTATGCATAAGTCAATTCAGTATCACTATGCCAATAACAAGGCCATTGGAGGTGATGACATTCCAGCTGAACTATTTAAAATTTTAAAAGATGATGCTGTTAAGGCGCTACACTCAATATGCCAGCAAGTTTGGAAAACTCAGCAGTGGCCAGAGGAATAGAGAAGATCAGTGTACATCCCAATCCCAAAGAAGGGCAGTGCCAAAGAATGCTCCAACTACTGCACAATTGCGCTCATTTCACACATTATCAAAGTAATGCTTAAAATTCTACAAGGCAGGCTTAAGCAGTATATGGACGGAAAACTCCCAGAAGTGCAAGCTGGATTTAGAAGAGGCAAAGGAACCAGAGACCAAATTGCAAACATGCGTTGGATTATGGAGAAAGCTAGAGAGTTCCAGAAAGACATCTACTTCTGCTTCATTGACTACGCAAAAGCCTTTGACTGTGTCAACCACAGCAAACTGTGGCAAGTTCTTAATGAAATCGGAGTGCCTGATCACCTCATCTGTCCCCTGAGAAATCTCTATGTGGCACAAGAAGCTGCAGTTAGAACTGGATATGGAACAACTGATTGGTTCAAAATTGGGAAAGGAGTACGACAAAGCTGTATATTGTTTCCCTGCTTATTTAACTTATATGAAGAATTCATCATGTGAAAGGCTGGACTGGATGGATCCCAAGCCAGAATTAAGATTGCCGGAAGAAATGTCAA